CTAACTAAATTAATTTTCTTTAAGGAAAATTATAATTTCGCACTAACATCCCGCGACGGCTCTCTATGCCTTTCTATTATATTAATTAAAAATTATTATAATAAATAATAAAAAATATTTAAAAATTTCATTGATGTTTAAATAGTATTAGTTTTGTATACTTTTTTATGATTATTTCTTTAGACTTGATTATATTGGAAGGCTTGTCATAGATAAGCTTGTCTAGTTTGTCATCACACACATCAACATAATCGACGCTTGCGTATTGCAATAAAATGTACAGACAAGGATAGATAGATGTTGAGGACAACGGCAAGTCAGCTATGCCCCTTCCAGTATATATGTTCTAAGGACCTGGTGTACATGTGCTGCGCGGAACGCTTTGCACAGCACATGTACGCGCTTCTCGCTTGTGTGGGGCTCGGAAGTCGGGAGCCCGGTAGGAAATATCGCATCCTTGGCTAAGTCCGAATTGGCCCGAATGACTGTACGGTTCAGCTCAGGCCGGCGTCACATAGAACCCGTAATCCGTAATCCGCACCGGAAGTCCGCAAAAGTTACTAGGGATTGCGTCTGTCTGTATTTTAGATATTTCATGTATGAATGTTCCCTCACTTACGGCGTTTGACGCGTAAATTTTAGGTTTTGTTGTCAGTGTTCACGATGACTTCTGTATATTTTGCAGTAAATAATATTTTATATTAAATGCTATTTGATATATGCAAGCTGTTATAAATATAAATTATTAATAAATGTATCTTATTTTACAGCGAATGAAATGTGCGGGTGGATAATGTCGGACGACATGAACGAATTAATAAAACATAAATGTTTTGTAACATTTGATGAGGAAGTATGCTAAATAGCGTAAAGTGACTTCCAATCGAGTACGAGGAGGTATTGGTTGCCTGATACACTCTTGTTTTGTAATACCTGGTCCAACCAATACTAATAGTCTTTGAAATGTTTCAGGTGACATTCTAAAGTAATTGAAATACTTGTCTGAATCATTCAATTGCATTTCTAGTACCACGTTGTCGCTTGCTCCTTGCAATCGTTTTCTTTCCAGCTGAAATATCGGTCGCACCCAGCACTTGCGCTTCTGTTTTTTGGCACTTTCCAGTCTCTTGAATTTTAAATAAATTGTAAACATGTAAATCACTCTATTGTACGTTAGTTTTCTTTGATAAAATGGAGAAGCCACTGAATTTTTCAACATTGTAATCATAACTAATAACATGAACCAAAGATTCATTATGCTTCTAATTTCAAAATTGTCAAACAAATCACTTTATAAAAATAACAATTATTAAGATTATGACACGTTTATTTTTATTTAAAGTCGGAGTGCACTTGCATTGCGTGCTTACATGCCTCCTTGTAGAAATTGCGTCCGTAACGTTACGTGTTTTTATCTCCTTGTGTCCCATGGAGCCGTAAATACACACGTAACGGTATTACTATTTTTTATTTAACAGATTATAATTGTTTATTTGTATTTTATTCATAAAAAAACTACAGAATATATTATAATTTTAACAAAAATTTTAATTAAATCGTCAAATTTAGTTAAATAAATAAAATTAGAAAAAGCATTACTAGTAATAACTAGTAACTTGTAGTAACTTTTACGGAAATTTCATGGAATTACGGCTCCATGGGACACAAGGAGATAAAAACACACGTAACGTTACGGACGAAATACCTAGTAACTTTTGCGGACTTCCGGTGCGGATTACGGATTACGGGTTCTATGTCACGCCGGCCTAATAATTTTTTTAAATAAACGGGTACCATATGGTATACTCTTTTACTCACAGATGTCTATACTAGTACTAGATCGCTAACTTTAGGCTTTGACGTATGGAAAAACTGAGGCTGGCAGGATTTCTGGTTTCGGCCATGACACCCTACAACAAAATGGCCGCTTAACAACTGCTCAACAACTGCTCAACAACTGCTTAACAACTGCTCGGCATCTTTCAAGAATTTTTACAATATTATCAATTTGTATCACCACGCCGGGTATCACATGTGCATATGCACGTACAGATATACACATACACACGCATTGTCGCCATTTTGTTGTAGGGTGTCATAGCCGAAACCGGAAATCCTGCCGGCCTCAGCTCTTTTGACGAAGGGTGTTTACGATAATTCAAGTTCGAGTTAGTTTTACTAGGGCCGAAAAATGAGATAGACATAACCATCTAGAACCTTTATGATTCATGACAACTCAACGCTGTCTTGTATTGCTTGAGTTAAATTCATTGAATTTATTGAGTTTATTGAGCAAATTTTATTGTAATAGAAAAATGTCATTTATTATTATTATTAATTATATTATTATTAATTTATTAAAGAGGTATACCAACATACATACCAACATTATTTGTTTCTTCATAGACTGATTTGCAGTTGACATTTTTCTATTACAATAAAATTTGCTCAATAAACTCAACAAATTCAATGAATTTAACTCAAGCAATACAAGACAGCGTCGAGTTGTCATGAATCATAAAGGTTTTAGATGGTTATGTCTATCTCATTTTTCGGTCCTAGTGAAACTAATAGCGTTTTTGAATAAACGGGGTTTGAACGATCTAGGGTTGATCAATCACTATTTTACTATAAATGCAAGTCTTTCATTGGTGGAGAGGTTGCAATGACGTCATTAACCAATCTTGGGTCGTTCAAATCCTGTATAATCGAAAACGCTATAGCCGAGAGCACAAGCTTTTACATAAAGCATAACGCATAAGACATAAGGAATGTATAGTGTAGTATATAAGTACTAATAAGTAACTAAAGTAACTAGTACTAAGTAAAGTAAAGGTAACGTAAACGTAACGTAACGTAACGTAACGTAAACGTAAGTAACGTAACGTAACGTGACTATACTATTCCTTATGCTTATGCGTTATGCTTTATGCAAAAGTCTGTGCTCCGGCCATATAACTCGAACTTGAATTATCGTAAACACCCGAAGTTAGCGATCTAGTACTAGTATAGACATCTGTGCTTTTACTAGACTGAAACACTTCCTCGAGTCGAGGAGTCATTTTATTTGTGCGACAAATGATGCGATAAAATGGGATGTTTTCATTGGTTAATTCGTGACGCGACGGATGACGCGACGCGTGACGCGCTCAGTGGGATTTTGCCATTAGTCCCTAGGTTTCGTTAGCAGTTCATTTTTTATAGATTGGTAGACATTGTTTAGCGGGAAAATAACCTTGTTATGTGCTACACGTGTATTATTATAGATAAAAGTTTTTAATTCCTCGATCATTATCATAGTGGTAATTTATTCCAAATTATCAATATGCTTCAAGATTATTTGTTAAAGTATCACACGAAAGACTTGGAAAAGATATTAAATGCTGCAGAGGATCATTTGTTCTATTCAATATATGTAAAGTAAGTTGAGTCTTTATATTTGCTAAAATTTCTGTCAATTTAGCATCATATATACCACACACATATATATATATAAAATTTTTTTTCCTTTTTTTTCAGCTTTGTGTCGTTATTTGATGCTGATGCAGAGAAGGCACAGAAAATCCTAAACAATCCTAGACATTATTTACCATTGTGTGAGGAGGCTGCAGTAAAAGCTCAGAAACAGTTATGTAAAATAGTTCAACAAACAGTAAAAACCAGAGTAAGAGTTGTTATTTTATTAATCATTAGCGCATTGTTGCGATACTGGATAAATTTATATCTAATGCTATAATAATCAAAAAGACATCCAGATATTAAATTTTTTGTTTTTATAATTAAAATATATATAATTAAAATATATATCATTATTATAATCAATCGGATCATTATATAGACACTGTTGTTGATAAATATTTGTACAGTAGTTATACTTATATAACTGAATCTTTTTTAATATATATATATATTAATATGCTGGGAATTATTAACTCATTATAACATTAATGCGCAGGTTCACATTAGAATTACTGCAGTACCGATAAAACTTGATACAGGTCAAATTGGTCAGTTAGTTTCAACATCTGGAATTGTAGTACGCATGTCTCAGCCTACAGTTATAAAGTTAAAAAAGCGTTTTGTCTGTAAAAAATGCAAACATGTCAATATAGCCAAGGTATGTAAACATTCGATAAAAAAACAATGATATAAATATATGAGCTGTTTTTTTCTTCTGAAAGTGATATAAAAGTCCACTTTTTCTTCTTTCAAGATATTTAATGTTTTTTATTTTATCCTACTTAGAAATACTGTTAAACTTGTTTTTTCAAAATTGGACTTCTATCATTTTGAAAAAGAACAGTTTATAAATTAATTTTAATTTTTTTTTTTATAGCTAGAATGGGAAAGGCGATTATTTGGAAATATTAAGTGTTGCGAATCGTGTCATTCGGAAGGTTTAAAAGCAGTAACATCCTTGGAACAAGATGATTGTTCAGACTATCAAGAAATGAAAATTCAGGTACAAAAAGTTTTGTCTTGCTATTACTATTGTATATTGTTTTCTCTCTGCTCTTGAGTAAAATTTTGTCTTCAGGACAAATGTAAAACAGATACAAGAAGCTGCTATGCTGTGGGCCTACAAGTAATTTTGTTAGATGATCTTATTGACAAATGTAGACCTGGAGATAACATAGATGTCAGGTTCATACATTACTAATATTGATTTATTTTCTTGTAATATAAAAAATAGGTTAGATTTTGCACACGATAACTTATAAAATGTAATCAACTAAATTTGAAACTAAATTCATAAAAATATTTACTAGTGGAGTGATTATACGAAAATGGGACAAACTAAAAGCTGGCTGTCGTGCAGAAGCCACACCATTCTTAATGGCAAATAGCATTTTTATACGCAAGAAAATTTCAGAAGCAACGTTCTCCACTGCAGGAATAAAAGACACTTTTACAACGTACTGGGAACATTATCGAGATAATCCGTTAACTGGCAGAGATAATATTCTCGCTTCTATTTGTCCTCAGGTACAATTTAATGTTTTCAAATATTACGAGAGATAATAGTAAATAATATTAAACATATAATAATATATCATATAAAATATACATTTTAATAAATGCAATTTCCTGCTTCCTCCTTTCTTCAGTTGTATGGTATGTATCTCGCAAAATTAGCGTTGTCCGTTGTTTTGTGTGGAGGTGTCGCAAAAACTAACGAAACAGGAACACGTGTAAGAGGTGAACCGCATCTTCTTCTAATTGGAGATCCTGGCACTGGCAAATCGCAGTTGCTTCGTACTGCGTCTCGACTAATTACACGGTCCGTCTTTACAACCGGCATTGGTACTACTGCTGCTGGACTTACGGCAGCCGCTGTCAAAGTTAGTATATGTTAAATGCTTCGTTCCTTTTTATTCGTCTTTTTGAACCAAGTGATCATTTTTTTGAATTATTTTCAATAAGAAATATATTACAGGATTCAGATGGATGGCATTTAGAAGCTGGCGCTTTAGTGCTCGCAGATGGAGGTGTATGTTGTGTGGATGAGTTCGCAACAATGAGTTCGCATGATAGAACTTCTGTACATGAAGCAATGGAACAACAAACAATCTCTATAGCAAAAGCTGGCATGGTGAGCACATTGAATAGTCGCTGTTCCGTCATTGCTGCTACCAATCCGGACGGTGGATGTTTCTCAGGTGATGAATGGAAAACCTGTTTAGGAAATCCCCTTCTGTCGCGCTTCGATCTGATCCTTCTTCTGAGAGATACTAGAAATCCTGAATGGGACAGAATGACATCGGATCATATTTTGAAAGCTGCTAGTGAAGATGAAGAAGATAATTCGTAATAAATATTCGTTTCTCTCATTCACAATAATCGTTACATATAAACGCAAAATATAAAATATTATTACAGATATTCCGAAATATTCATGGGTCCTGCAAATATAACAGGTTTGTGGATGGAAGAAACTCTATGTGAATATTTTGCACACGTGCGTACATTTAAGCCAGAGCTAACAGAAGGAGCGAAGAAAATACTCAGTGCAAGTTATCTTTATCACAGATCAGATCCATATAGAAGACCTGAGAGAACAACTGTGCGACTTTTAGATAGTCTTATCAGGTATAACAAACAATTACCCAATCAGTCATCAATAGTGATAAGAGTTCTATCATATGTTGTTTATCCTGAATCAATTCCAAGTATTGTTGTAGAAATGAATAACATTAGTAAAGTTATCATATGAATAATGTTTTCAGATTAGCCGAAGGTCATGCAAAACTCATGTACCGAACTAAAGTAGAAATTGTTGACGCTGTGACTGCAGCAGAATTGATTGGAACTACTATGTCTAATAATTCTGATGTCGGTTGTCCATTTCCAACAAACCCAATTGAAACATATCATTCCAAAGGTACGTATATGTTAAATAATTTGCTAAATTATATGAATGTATCAAATGTTTTACTATGTTTTATATATATTATATTAATGTTTCAATATTTTCTTGCAGCCAAAAACTTACTCAGAAGACTTAACTTACAGGAATTAGAAGCATATCTATGAATATTAGTCTGCAAATGTATCACAATTAAAATTAAAAAGCAATTTATTTAAAATCAATTACTTTGTGACAGATGTTTTTGAATGTTGTGAGACAATTTTTATATAATAATGCACACTATACTTTTGTACAAGAATTTAAGAATTTCTATATTTTGATTATTTTTGAAAACTAGTTATATTTATATTGTATTTATTATCATCATAGTATGTGAAGAAGTACAAATAAACCTTAATATATTTCAATTCCAACAAATAACAACCATATTTTTTAACACTGATCAGAAAAACCATAAACAACTCCTTAAAATAACTTTGAATTATTCATTGATGATGAATTAACGTTTGCATAAATAATAAAACAATTCACAGATTCATAAAATTTCGAGTGAACTTCAACTTCTTTCTATCAACATTGTTTCACTACCAGCGTTCTAGTGAAAACGAGTTATTTAACTTACATTACATGTGAAAAATAACAGTCATAATAAAGAAGTCATTCAACATGTTGCATAAAACAAGAGTGTATAGAATTTTACAAGATTTAGAAACAGGCTGTTTGTGAAAATTAGCGTTTATATTAATATTTTAAAAAATAGGAATTGTGGGTTCTTTAGATTGAATCTTACAATTATTTAAACTTGGAGTAAACTTAAATACCGTGATATTCTTATAACTTGCACATAATCACATTGTTACGAGACTATGCCGTTGAAAGCTAGGAAATATAAGTAATTATGAAATAATAAAATTTTGAATGTAATTATTAATAACTCAGCCATACCATTGTTATTAATCTGACGATTTCATAAATAAATGCACGTGATGAAGCATAAAATATTACTTAGAAACAACAAATACATATTGGTTTTGAAAGATTTGTTTAAAGGAAATACCGAAGTTAATACTCCGACATTTTACTGATAGTATCTGTACAATTAACGTTGTTCACACAACGTGCATTAGAGAATAAATTTAATCGTGAAGCACAATTTTCTTATATTGCATTGTAAGAATAAGTTTTGCAATACATTCGCATGATCGATTTGTATGATCCATAAACAGCGGAATTAATGAGATCTATCCACTTAATGATGTAAAGCCAGAACATAGTGTATTTTTGGGACAAATAAATGATAAAATTATTAATAACGCGATTGGCTAATGTCAGTCATCTGCGTACGAACTGTACTTGCTGCGACATTGCTTGCCGCGTTTTGCACATGCTCATTTCGTAAGAATGTTGTAGCAAATTCTTGTTGCGCCTTCGTAACACTTGCATCGGAGGTGCGATAAATGCGATGAATCTAAAAAAAAAGTAATAATAATTTTATTCTTATTTTTTAATACTCAATTTTTATTATATTATTTTATATATGTATTATACCTTAGTGAGCAGTAAGAGATCACCGCATGTCGCCAGAAGAAAACAAATAGCGACGAAGAGCGTTACAAGACCGACAAGAATACCTTTGACCGATGAGTCGAATGCACCAATTGCTGTTATTATACCACTACAAAATGAAAAATGCATTTTACATTAACATAAAAATACTCACGTATTGTACATAAAAGTGGAGCAAAAGTATATATATTACCAAGTTCCTGTACCAGGAATACCTATAGCTTGAATGCCAGTAACAATTAATTGAAAGAAGAAGACGAAGAAAAAGACCATAAAATTGAAAGAGCTGTCGTTCCTAAAAAAATTAAGATAATTTACATATTTCTAATTTCCCTATACTTGGATAACTCTTGTAATAAAAGATAAATTTGAAAAACATACTTGAAAGCCCTGTACGCTGGTCTAAACCAACACATGAAGGAAAATGGAGTAAAGAGTACGGCATACAAAAGAGGCAGGCCAAAATATGATATACCATAGCCACGTATCGCCAAAAGAAATCCTCCGAGTATATTAAATAGTAGAATAACGCAGTGAACTATAAATAATATTGTTAAATATATTATCGGCATATTGATAAACAAATGTATTTTTAACATACATTTAACTGATAAATAAACAATTGTAACATTATTACGAAACTCACACATCCATAAGTAATATAATTGTCTCAGAATCTTTTGGAAATCTATATTAATTTCCACATCAATGTCTTGATAGTAGCATGGTTGAAAACAGCAGTTATCTGCTAGTGGTGGCCAATTATTTCTCCTTGCTATAATATAAAAATTTTTAATATGTCTAAATAAAAAAATTTTATTTAATATGAAGAATTAGAATTATGCGAATAATATACTAACGATAGTAAGGTGTATTTCTCATTTCTTCGTCCGATCTGGCCTTCCATTCTGCTTCTGATCGTTGCTAAAAACACATCAAAATACTTTTTTGTTTAATCTTAAAATATTTCAAGAGATTTGTATACCTTATGAAAGAAATTTTGCAAAAACTAAATATTCAATATAAATTTACATCTGCCGAAGATGACATAGGACTTCCAAGAGCCGCATTGACTGTTTGTTGGGGAGTGCGAGCATATGCAGGAGGAGGTGCTTCTTGATTAGTAGGTTGAAGTGTGGCTGGTTGCTGGGTTGCACCGACTCCACCATAAATAGGTGGATTTACTGCTCCTCTAACTTGTGTAGTTCCTTGAGGACCTTGTTCAGCAAAAGGATTGTAGTCTTCAAGACTTCTACTAGCAGGTGTAGAATTTACTGCTCTTTGTATCGCTGGATCCTATTATTTATGTAAAAATATCCATTCATTTTTCTTCTAATAATCTTTTGTTAGTAAAGTTAATTATCTTATTTCTTGATTGTTTTTGATATCAAGTCTCGTATTTTATGTAGTTTTACAAAATACAAACTTGCATTTCAATAAATTGTTATTGAAAACGATACAATTTTTGATTATACATTAAAATCAATTTTCTGAAATTAATTATAAAATTAAAGCGCGCATGTTTATAATCAATATATAATCGATAGAAGAGTTATATTAGTTACTTCAATGTAACATCATAAAATTGCATATAATATCACTACATATGTATAAAGTACAGATACAACAAATATTCATCTAATTAGATTTCATAATAACTAAAATGTCGATCATATGACGATAAGGAAAAAAAAAATCGTCAACGGAGACGAATATATCTTTGCCGACGTTAGGATGACACATTCAATGATAAATCATTATTACAGCTTCGTAAGCATCGCTTATCGGTTTAAAACCGTTCGATAGATTATGATTAACCTTTCATGAAATAGACAAAAAGAAAAGAAATAAACAAAAATATCGATGAAGCGGACTGGCAGACTTTGACAGATACACGAACAATATTGAAGCACAGAGGTTGCGTGTTTCGTTGCATCGATATGAAGGGAACGCTACTCACCGAAAACGGATCATTGATTGTAGGTTCCCCGAAGGGATTTTCGTCAAAGCCGGACATTTTTCGTCTTCGTTTTTGCACCACCGATACGCAGGTGAAAGATTCGGAGTACGCACAATTGATATATTCGATTAATCTTATCTAAACCTGTCTAAACCTGATGAACTGTGGTCTCGTCATTACACACTATACAACTACACAATACTACAGTAACGCCGTAACTAGCCGTAACAGCAACCATTCATCTCGAACAACGTCGACCATTACCTATCAGCAGTTGCCGATTAGAGTCGGTTAGGCTATATTCAGACAAACTTGCATAGCGCATAAGCATATGCATAAGGAATTTGATTGGTCCATTTTTTGTGCATCTTCTCACGACCAATCCATTTTCTTGTCCATACATATGCTTATGCGCTTATGCAAGTTTGTCTGGATATATCCTTAGACGAGTTGTGCACGGACGGCACGGACTATGCTCAACCATTGTGACCATCATGAAGAATAGAGATCAGGAGGCCGAACTTAATAGGCGATGGCGTCAGATTATGAGCTCAAAAGTGGTCATTTGAATTAGTTCAAAATGCTACTCGAGATGTCGCTTGCGTTCCACGACACCGTGGGCAGGGACATAAAAGTTCACAGCGAACTGCGAACAAGAAAACCGTTAGGTTGCAAAAAATAACGAAACGATGTTGCTTGTAACATGGCCGAAGCCAAACTACTTTCTGGAGTCATTAAGTATATAGCCGAGAGCACAAGCTTTTACATAAAGCATAACGCA